TGTGCTTTGCTGTTTTCTGTGAACAAACAAACCGAGCGTGGGCGTCCGAAGTGGTGGCAGTTATGGCCATAAATACTAATATGTACGTTCGCGTAAGCAGGTATTGAATAAAAATAAAAATTGCCATTGACTGTCGCTTAATAAACATGCTCGCAGATAGCAGCAGTCCAAGAGCCGCACAGTCGTACAATCGCAGCTGCTGCCAAATAGATGTGCAATATCTAAAGCTCCGAATCCACCGTAGGTTGGAAGCCGCTGCTTGGTGATGTAAGCTCCGGTTCTGGCCGCCGTCTAACAGCCGTCTGTGTGTAGCTCCGTTACTGCACCGCATTCTGTGTAGAATGTAAAGCCTCATGCGGAGCAGTAATTCGAAAACTTGCCCACCCACAGCCACAGGCCACAGCCAGGCCAAGCGTCATCGCTGCATAGTTCGACATGAAGTTTGAACTTGCACTCGATGCTACCAGTCGAATATCGGACTATGAGGAATGTGATAGACGGCAGTGCGTTGTGACATTAAATAAGGGGTAAGGTCTGTTATTGTCTATAGAAGACCAAATGTGTATCTTGAAGAGCGCTGCCCCAAAAGGCATCTTTTTGTTTATGGACTGTGGCAAAACAACTAAGGCTGTGCTTTGCATTTTTGATATCATGTATCTATTTGGATTATTCGACGTCCCGCTGCGACTGCGCAGTGAGAAATTTTGACATAGACACAGACCCCAGACCCATGTACATACATATGAGTACATATTATCATTGCATTACTCACTCCCATTAAAAGACCCAGCGGATGCAGAGATGACCTATATTCCTATGTTCGTGGCCCAAAATAGAGGGCCACAAACAATTGCCTATTTTTTCTATTTTGAGCTGTGTTCTTTCATTCCTTTACCGAAATCATAATCCCACAGAGGCAGGCGCAAGGCAATACTTTGTTGCCCTAACCCGAAGTGCCTAGGGTGCTATTAATAAAATGTCATCAAACGGAACGATCTCGTGTGTGCGTATTTATCAGTGGGAGAACTCAGCAGTCTCCCACCTTGGGCAACCATGGAGAGAGAGTAGATTCTGATGATCGACGGTTATGTACCCTCTGCTCTTCCCAAAGATCTACCAAATATAGGCAATCCGTTGAAAATATCTTTCTTTGGTTCTGCTGATCCAATTGCAAAGCAGAACGTAAGCTAAACCAATTTATATTCGCCCTGAGCTGTTTATCAAATAAACACGCATGCTGTAGTGGGGAAGAGGCATGGCCATGGGCAGGAGCAGAGGTAGCGAACTGCTCATGAATGAAAAACAGCGAAAATAAATTTTTCTCTACATTTAGCCTCTCTCAATTTTTGTGCCGTGTTTTGCGTTGGTTTTTAGTGGATTGGTTTGGATGTGTTTGGCTGCTGATTGCTTGGGAGGGGTGGTTTATATGGCCGGCAACAAGTTGGATTTGTTCTAAAAATGAACACACGAAATATCTTCGTCTTTGGCGTTAAATACAGACAACGACATCGGTGTCGAGCACCAACAACGCATCTTCGTCCGAAGAGATCTGAGAAGAGCAGAGCAGAGCAGAGGAATTTGATTTTCATTTGATTCTCCTTCGGTCTCCCCGTCGTTCGCGCTATTTTCCTCTATTGTGTGTGGGGCGTGCTTGTCTTTCCGTGCCGTGCTCTCCTCCACTATCCATCTAAGGAGCATATTCTGAAAAAAACGATGATTTTCTTGACTTGATTTTCCCGCGAGTAGTTGCGTTTTGGATGTCACCATGATGTACACGCGCACAGTGGCGATGCTGCTCGACCGACTGCCCGTGGGAGAGTGAAGTGAACCATAGACTGAGACTTGGACTGGAACTGAGACAAGGATTACCAGCCATTGGATAGATCTATAGACTGAGACTGACACTACAGGCAAACAACAATAAACAATAACAAAAACTTCAACAGGTAAATAGGATAAATAGTTGCCCCCCAAACCCCGCTCCAGATGTTTATTATCATTAGCTATATTATGGATATAGATTGAGGGATTTCTGTCTCATCCCCTCCCAGTGAGAGCGGTTAGGCCATTTATGGCCATGCTTTTCTAGCAAGGGAATCGAATTTCATGCACAAAAACAACATTTCTGTTTTCCGAGAGATAGAGAGCGATTCGCTGAGTTTCGGTGTGTGCATATATTGGTTCGTACTAGTGTGTGTAAGAGAGAGAGAGAGAGAGATCAGCGCCACTTGCCAGTCTCCCTAAGACATTTAAATAGAATTCTCGTGCTGGCCACCGAGCGAGAGCAAACTCATCTCCGTGTCTGCATCCGTCTGCGTCTCGCAGTTCCTCTGCCGGCGAGCCCGATCCACACCAACAACAATGGAAAACGTGTGTCTATAACTACATATGTGTGTAGGTATAGACGCATAAATTCCGATCCCTCGTGACATATTTTCCATAAGCACATGACTCTATCTAATTGTTTCGTCTCTCTATCCTTATCTGCAGCAAGGATCAGGATGCAGGAACTAACGAGGGTCTGCGAACTCAACCACAACAGCATCCATAACAAGGTGAAGACAACAGCCACTCCCCCAGCAATCAGCAATCTTGAGCCACTGCTGCCCATCAAGCTGGAGCATGACCATGATCTGGAGTCATGGCTGCCCACAACAGACCATGGCCACCTGCGCCTTGATCTGAACACCACCCGATTGCTGCTGCAAGGATCCGACGATCCATTGATTTCGCACGGCGCCTCCAACGATGCCCACGACGAGGACCATCCCTTCAAGACACTTCTGGCCCGCAAGACGGCCAGCCAGGAGCAGCAACAGCGGCAGCAGCAGCAGCACAACGCCACTTGCAGCCCGCTCACCAAGCAACAGCTTAAGGCCAACCTGTTGATGGGGAATCGGAAGACACACTGGCCGCAGCCCTCATCTCAGCTGCTAGCTCCGGAAGAGCCACCAACTCCACTTACACAAAAGACACCGCGACCTGCTCCCAGCCAGAGCAGGTCCAAGAAGCGGACAAACTCCGCGGGGGCCATGAAGCTGCGCTTCCATCACCAGGCGCTGCCTGCGGAGTATGCGGCCCACTACGAGGCAACCCAGGGTCGACAGCCGCCCAGACCCGTGCTACAACCACCGCCACAGCCTCCTCCTAGCCAGGCCCATGAAAACGTGCGAAGCTGGCTGAGGAAAATAGCCGAGATACAGCGCAGTGCGGAGCGGCAGCAACAGCAACAGAAGCAGGCATCCACCAGGAAGGACTCTCCTGTTATGCGCCCTACGCCCCCCGTCGGAGTGCCACCACCTGGAAAGGCGCCAGAGGTGGCCGCACCCTCGAAGCGGGGTGCACTGAAGTACGCAGATCTGCCCTACATGGGGGAGCTCACGCTCGACAACTACAAGCCGCGACGCGGACGAAAACCGAAGAAGGCCGACATCTGCCATCTGATTTACAAAAACTACGGCACCATCGTGCCAACCACAAGCGCCGTGCGCCTTCCTGTGAGTGCTCCTCTGCCGGACACTACCGTTTATAGGCCCACGCCAACGACACTGATGCCGGAAGAGCCATTGAATCTCTGCTTGCGGGATCAGAGCAGTGATCGTTACTCCATCTCCAGTGGGGACAGCGACAAGCCGATGCCGACGCCGACGACAACGACAGCCACCACAGACTGCGGAAGCTCCTCTCATCGAACGACGCCTCTGAGCGCTGTCAAGCCCCTGACCTTGGAGCTGGTCGGGGGTCACGAGCAGCCTCTCGTCGCATCCAAGCTGATGTTGCAACCTGTGGGGCTGTACTACCAGCAGCTGATGGAGTCCTGTACCTTGGAGGGCTTGCCCGTGCCCGTGGAGACCATCGAGAAAGACAACCAGCTCTCGCTGAAAATACCCATACCGAGTGGGTTTTTTTCGAACGAGGCCATGCCCCTGCCCCTGGCTCTGCGGAAGAGGAAACGCTCTGCTATCTTTATCCCGCCTTTACCTGCCGAGCACTCGTCGAGCCCCTCCACGGAGGTGAGCATCTGTAAGTTCAAGTTCACGGGCGGGGCCAAGCCAACTCTCCAGGAGAAGAAGATGCTGTCGGTAGACGCCGAGGGAAACTATCGCTACTACAACGGCACTGGCGACAAGACAATGCGGGGCTATGAGTTCATTTCCCGGGATCAGCAGCAACAGCAACAACAACATCAGCAGCAACAACAGGGCCAGGCCCCAGGACAAGATAAACTCTATGTGGACATACCACCACCATCAACGGATCTCAGTCTCGAGTTGCTCCAAATACCACCCGTCTCGCCCACATCTTCGCTGCTCCTCTCCAGCGCGAATAGCATCGTGCCAGCGATTGCACCACAAAGTCCTGCCTCCAGCGCTCAGAGTCCCATGCCCCCCGCCGTGTTTCCGAGCCTGCCGCCCTTCAAACCCTCGACTGAGAGCGAAAGGAAGCGCCGGAGCTCGCGACGGTCCAAGCAGCGAGAGAAGTTGGAAAAGACATTCAAGGAGAAGGGCTTTCTCATCCAGACACAGCAACTGCAGTCTGCCGAGGGTGCCACTTACTGCAAGTTCAGGCAGCTAAAGAAGTTCACACGCTACCTATTCCGAAACTGGAAGGATCACATACCAGAGAGTGATCTGGTCAAGCACCAGAGCGTCGTCAGGGAAGACGACAGTGTCATAGACAACCTGCTGGGGCTGGAGAGTCTGGCCAGCCCGGCCACATGAAGCTGTCAAAAGTTTTCTGAACCACACAAAGCACTGCCAAAGATTTTTAGGATTAAGACAAGACGCTTGCCGATTATTCCGTCCATGCAGGCTGCTCCAGAAGATGGGCATCCATGATCTATGATCAATGGTCCAACAGCACCGCCTTCTAGTCGCTCATCAGTTTTTCTTAGTGCCTAATGATGTGTTATTGTTAACAAATAAAGTCAATGTTTAACCCTACGTGTTGGAGTAAGCTCTGCGGATGAGAGCCGAACCAGAGGTAAAAACTAGTGTGGATCTTGTAAAAGGCATCGTACATCGTATATTTGGATTGTACAAATTATGCGTAATATATGTAAGTAAGTGTTAGTACAAAAAATAAACTCCAAAATGGGTTATAAGTCTAAAAGGGTGAGCCCAAATAGCTTGGCTTTCGCTCAATTTCGTTTGAATGCCATTGCAAATACTTCTCGTTGTCATCTTAAGGCTTAATTTCAAAGATTAGGCCTATGTTGGCTACAGAAAATGTATAGTATAAATTTCCAAAATGTTTCTGGTATGTATAGGTCCGCAAAAAAGAGTTTTGATTTCTCATCCGATTGGTGCTTGGAAGATTGGGCGTGCCCAGGTAAATTCTTGCTAATATTGTCGTGTGGGGTCGATTTGGTTGCTTGCTTATTTCGGGGGCAGTACATTCGCCTGAACCCTCTGAACGGGCTGGGCTGAGCTTATAACTAGATTAACAATATTTGTAAATGAATTGTGCGTCTTCCGGCACCAGTATTAGTTCGAGCTCATTGAGCTCTCGGGGTCCTTGACCGTTTGCGAGTTCGATGGCTCTGGCACCCTGGCATTCATCGGACACACGTACTCTGTCCAATCCACATCGCTCTGTCCCTTGGTGCTTTTGCGGCGCTTCAGCGAAAACTGCGTCCGCTTGACCGGCTTTAGCTTTGCCGTAATGCTCAGCGGCTGGTACCCAGGAGCCGACTCCGCATCTCTCTTGCTCAGGATGACCGGGCGACCAACTAGCTCTTTGAAGTGCATGGCCAAGTGACGACGTAGCAGCGACTTGCTCGGCGGTATCGAGAGCAGGTCAGCAAGCAGATCTGCATTGAATCGCGACTCGTACATCATCAGTGCCCCATGGACTCCGGCCCCTCGCAAATTTGGCGTATACTCCGACAAGTCGATGGTCTGTAACCAGCCCATTATGCGATGCGCCGTCCACAGTTCCACGCTTTCCCTGTCCGGACTCCTGCTGACTTCATCACCATTAGCTACCTTGGTTGAGCGTCGAATTAGGCCCTCGGCATTCCACGACATGCGTCGCATGCATAGAATCCCAGATCTCAGAGAGGCTATGTGCAGACAAGAGCTGACATGCAGCTGCGACAGATCCTCGAGCGTCAGACGGTGCAGCATGCGACCATCGACCTTGGCCTGCATGAAATAGTCTTTGTATTGTGGCAGACCTATATCGTCCAGCCAACGCAGCACCCAAGCCGTATCCAAGGTGGCCGCCTTTAAAGTGAGTTCGTCATACTCTTTGCCAGTGATGTCGTCAATGGCCAGCAAGATCTTTTTCCGGTGTAGCGGAAACTTAAGGTTGAGCTCCCGCTCAATGTCCACCGGTGAGGCGGTGAAGAATGACACCGTTGGATGGGCCTTCAGCCATTTTCTGGAAATTGAGTGGTTGATTTGAGTCTCTTATTCATTAATATGATTTACTTACCGGCAATTATCCTCGTAGCAAGCTAGTCCTATGTGACAGAGCCAGTTGCACACATCCTGTGGTGTCCAGGCGCTCCAATGCTTTTCGTTGTCGCTGAACAAAGACGTTTGAGCACTCCATTCGATGCGTCCACCGGCTGTGGCCCGAGACCCGCCGCGCCGAAACTCGGGATCTGCCTGCTCCAAGCCGGTCAGCTCACAGTTGCTGCTGTTGCTGCGTCGCAGCTTACCGAGAATGTTGCGCAAGCCTCTGGCAGAACGCTCCCGCAACTTGGGCGAGGGAGTAAACTGAGACATGAAGCTGGACGTCATGGCATCGTCCGTATGAGCACTATCATCGATGAGGATTTGTTCGTTCGATGCAAATGCCACATTCCGCTGCTTGCCACTGCTGTTGGCGTTCACATCCAGGGTGCGATTGTTGTTGTTGTTAGCTTGTTTACCATGGGACCTGGGCAGACTATGAAACTGCGGCCGTATCTGATGGCGCAGTGCTGAAGGCGGGGTCTTCGGTGAGCCCATGAAGCCTTTATGGTTTATGCTACTCAAACTGCCATAGGGTAAGTTAGTATTAACTGCAGATCCCGCTCCTGCTCCACCTCCATCGTTGGCCTGTTCCAGCGCTGTACGATGCAATTTCAGTTCACTTAAGGCACTCATCAACTCAAGCTTCTGCGTCTCGAGAGCGGATCGGGATATCATCTGACGCTGCAGCAGCTCTTCCTTGTTGCAGAGCTGTTGGGTCTTGTCTGTAATGAGACCTTCCAGCTCGATTATCTTATCCGCCTGCTCGGACACCCGCTCCGCCAGCATTTGGTACTGCAAAGCCAGACCCTCCTTGTCTCGCTGCAGGCGTCGCATTCGCTCATCGGAGTCCTGGCGTGGTATGTGCGTCTCCAGCCAGTCGCTGATAATGGCAGCCGTCACGGGATCCGGAGCCGGAGCAGCTAATCCCACCTACAACAAGAACCATGTGAGTTTCAAGCGTATTCATTCCTTGTGACTCACCTGTTGCAATGCCAGGGCTAATGTTTTTGCTGTAGATAAAACATTGGTGGCTGAAATCAAGTTACGCTCACTTAGCGTCAGCGAAGCGCCCGCCCCACCGCCCGGCTGCCCAACCGTGGCCGCCGTGCTCGATATGAGGCCATCCATTTGCTGTAATGCTGCCTCAAGCATTTTGCTGCCCTCGGTTGCCGTCGCCATCAAGTCCAACTAAAGCCCTTGCTAATGCTTTGATGATCGATGTGGAGACTTACTGTGCGGCTAGTGCATGGTTAAATAAGAGTTTTACGATAGGCTCGTCATTTTGCTAATATCCGCAGGCAATTTACATTTATAGTTATTAATTTTAGCACAAATAAAGAAGAAAAAAATTAAATATCACGAAAATAGATGGGTGCAGTGTGACCGCGGGTTAACGATAAAATATACTGAAATATACCTTTCCACTTTGAAAATATACCGTAAATGAACTGATATCATATTCCACGATTCTGAACCAAGAAACTATAATTGTATGTGATTTTGGATCTGAGTACTGCCTGCTGTACAGCCGCTACCAAACAGTTTGTGCTCAAAAAAATGTCTAGGTTTCGAACGAATATTATCCCTGATTATTCTAGAGGACATTTTTTTCGGATCTGAGTACTAGGCGGCTATAATATGACTCTGCTAGCTAAGATCTGACTGAAAGTAGCTGATTTGCCAACACCGCATAGTGCCCATCTCTAACTGTTGTATCAATAATACAAAAAAAATACAAAATCCGGAATTAATGAAATGAATCGCTTCGCTTATGTGGAGGCTCGACTGAGTTCCAACGAAACGTTCGTCAGCCGAGACAGTAGAGTGAAAATCTTCGATGGAGATCAGAAAGTAAGTAAAGCGCTCAACCCTCCCAGGCCTACCTCATTTTAAGTGTACTTTCCAGACAGACTTTGAGGAGGGCGAGGTGGTGCTGACCACACACAGACTGTTTTGGGGCCGTCCTGGAGAAATTGCTAGAGCTGCCGTTACCCTCTGTCTGCCACTCAGCTATGTGATATCGCTCGGGGAGGAAACGACTGCCTCGAACTTCTTTGGCCGCAAGACGCGCATTATAATGCACTTGCGTCCGCCAGGCCCTGACAAGATGCCAGGCCCCCTGGACACCAGTCGTGCAACGCACATCAAACTGTCTGGAAAAAACGGCCTAAGCGTGGAGTTTCACAGCGCGCTGCGTGAAACACTGAATGCTCGCATCTGGGAGATCTCCCTGACCAGCGAAACCATCATAAGGGGAGTGGACAGCAGTCCGACGTCTGAATCGGGCAACGATAGATTGGCTCGCATTCAGAAACGTACAGGCATCGGAGGCATTGAGCGGCACCTGGAGGCGAAAGCAAAGGCGACTGATGAAAACATTGCACTAGCCTTCCAGGATCTCAGTGTGCTTATGACCATGGCCAAGGATATGGTGGGACTGTCCAAGACAATCAGCGGCAGAATACGCGAGCAAAAAGGCGAAATATCCGACGATGAGACGGTGCGTTTCAAATCTTACCTCATGAGTCTGGGAATCGACGATCCTGTGACGCGTGACAACTTCACCAGCAATTCGGCGTACTTTTCCAGCTTAGCACAACAAATTTGCCAGATGCTGATTGATCCCATTGAGGTGAGTGCTTTGCGCCTTAATTCGATTTATTTTGTCTAACCCGAATAATTTTTGTAATTGGCTTAGGAGCTCGGTGGTATGATGTCCCTGGCAGATGTATATTGCCGCGTGAACAGGGCTCGCGGCCTGGAACTGCTTTCGCCAGAGGATCTGCTGCACGCCTGCGAACAGTTGAGGGGACCCATCCGTCTGCGCAGCTTTCCCAGCGGCGCCAGGGTGCTGCAGCTGGAGTCGCACGACGATGACTTGATTGCCATTGACACCCTTGAGAAGGTGCAGGCAGCCGAATCTCTGGCCGTGGAGGAGCTGGCCAAACAGCTGGGCATCTCTCTGCTGCTGGCCAAGGAGCGACTGCTGGTAACCGAGCGCCTGGGCAAGGTGTGTCGGGACGAGTCTGTGGAAGGGCTCCGCTTCTATCCAAATCTGCTGCTGCAACGAGACTAAACGATCTGTGAATCCCCATCTGTGCGTGTTACTAGATATTCTAAATAAATAATTATTATGAAAATCGAAGCCTGTGGTTAGCGTGTCCTCGATCATGGAATGAGGACTCCGCTTGGATCATATAATTTCATTTCACACTTTATTGATTAACGGAGCTTTTTCAGTGACTTTGTCGATGCTTCATTTAGTATTTTTAATATTTCTGGTTTTGTCATTATTCATTTTTTTTGTTTGGTTTTGTGATTTTGTTAGTAGTTTTCGAGAGTTTTCTTCGTAATTATTCAGTTTAATGAAAATTTTCTACAGTCAGGTATTTTGATAAGCAGTTATTGAATTGAAATTACACATTTATATTAATAGTTGGTTTCATGTTTAAATATACATATAAATAGCTTATGCTGTCGCTTAGATTGCTCCGCATTATATTAATAAATCTTTGAATTACGTTTCAATAACCATTTGATCAGACCACACGTACATTATCTTGTATGTATTTAGATTTCGTACTCAGGTTTTTGGCCAGTTATCTGCTTTGCTTTGCGTGGCCTTGCTTTGCTTTGCTTCGCTTGAGTAACATTATCCCAATCTGACTGACTTCGTATGAATTCATTATGCTGTCGTCATTCATTAATTCAATCGGTTTATGTAGTACCATGATTTCTTTTGTTTTTATTCTTCTTAAATCACATTTATTAATTAATATTAACATTGAGTAAGTTATGCTTGAGTTTTGGGGTACGGATACGTTTACGTTTACGGGTATGGGTATGGGTATGGGTGTGGGCTGCAATAAATGGGATTAGGTTAATGTTTTGTGTTGTGTTCGTTTTCGCACTATCAAGAAGTTTGATTTTTGGGTTGTAAAGCAGAAGAAGCAAACAATGCTAAACAAGTACAGCACAGATGTAACATAATTAAAATCGTTGCTTAAATAAATAATTTCAATCTACAGAAACTGGCGTAGTTGAAAAAACAAATTGGTTTAGTGTAAGCGTTACTTTTTACACGTTACTCATCACTCGTTCGATCTGTAACTCTTCCCTTTCTAGTCTCGTTGTACATTGCGCTATTACAAATAAATTGTTTAAATAAGTGATGACTTTTTGCAAATATATTTTTTTTTCGTTTCGTTTTAATGTTTCTGCAATTGGAAGTACTAAATTGGTTGAGGCTACGACTTGTTCAATACAAACTAAAATGTGTTTTTGTTTAGCGAACTTAAGCTAAGCAATCGATTAAATAATTAGCAATAATAATGGTAATAGTACAATTGTATATGTATAATTATTAATCTTATGAACCCCTACACCAGTTCATATTTCATATTCTATAGCTAACATAATAGTAAAAGTAATAATTAGAATTTCTTTACAATTATATTACGTTTTTTGTTTGCTCTCTGTCTCCATCCTCACTTCTCAACTTATTGCTTTCTTTTGTTTTCAGTGATCCACCCCTGCTTTACAATTTCAAAATAGCACGCTTAAGGAGCTAGTCTTAGGGACTTAACGAATTAGAGCTGGGAGGGCCTAAGGGAAAATGGTTCGAATGGCGGTTGGATGCGCGGGAAAATTTTAAACAATCTTTACATACTCGTATTTATAATATATATATATAATGTGTATATACAACTAGATAAATATTATTAAGAGCTTTACACCTAATTCGTTTATGCCAAGGGGACACATTTAACACAAGCGCAGTCGGCAGTGCTGGAGAGCCCAACCAAATTCAGTTCCAGTTGCCGCTAGCTCCAGCTCCTAACTAGGTTGCACATATTATGAGCTGCCATGCTATTGCCCATGTACATGCACATACATTTTTCACACTTACGATTACACATCAAAACATATATAGATATATGGGTATACAATGTACGATAGTGGTGATAGTTAGGAGGTAACCATAAGCTATAATATCATGCAAATACACAACGCGTAGCCTTATTACTTTTTCGCTCTCATCTTTCATCTCTCAGTCCTCTCATTCCTTACAGTCCTTTTCCTTACACAAATCTAATATTGTGCCATATTCTTTATCGCCTTTAGCCTTTATTTTGTCGCGTCGGTGGTGGAGCGCCGTCGATTGACTGCCGCCTGTTGTTGCTGCTGCTGCTGTTGCTGCTTGGCCGCCGCCAGAGCCGTGAGTGTTCGCTGGCTAATGCCTCCCGTGGCGGTGGTGGCTCGTCCAGCGATTTGGATGTGTTGCATCTGCTGTTGCTGCGGCACCTGCACCTGGCCGGGACTGGGAAGTGTCTGGGACGAGACTGTGGCGGTGCTCTGCTGGTTGAGTATTCGGTGTTGCTGCTGCAGCTGCAGTTGCTGCTGCTGCTGTTGTTGCTGCTGCTGTTGCTGCTGCTGCTGCATGGGCGCCTTAACAGTCTTTAGCTGCAGCTTTTGTCCAGACATCACAATGGGACCGGCACTACTGGAGACGACATTAGCAGCTACAAAGGAAAGGTTTAGAAATCTATGCGAATACTCGAACGTTCATTTCAATCACCATTCATCGGAGTAGTGGCAATCTTGAGCGTTGAGCCGCCTATCTGACGTTGGGTGGTGATAAGCTGCCTGCTGGTCGTTAATTGCTTGGCTCCTACCACCTGGACGTTGCGGGCCCGCGGCTGGATGGTGCCCACCAGCTGGATAGCCGCTGTGTTGCTGTTGCCCGACTGCTGTTGCTGCTGGATCGACTGCTGGGCAACACCTACACCACCACCAACACTTGAGGTACGTATTGTTTGAGGATTTAGTTTCTGTACACCGGCACCGACTATTTGAGCTGTAAGCAGAGAGAGAAGAACGTGGGTGTGCGGGGAGATTTTTTGGTTGTTGTTTTAGGTTGCAATGAGAATTGTCGGAGGCCGATCGGGGGTGCCGCCAGCTACTTGAGCATAGAGTAGGCATGGTTTTGATTTTGGGCTGGGGTTTGGGTTTAGAAAATGGACTCTCTAATCTCAAACTGATGGCATTTCGGGTTAAACACACACAAGACACATAGAACAGTTTAGTTGCATGAGGTAGGAATCGAAATTGTTGTTAACGGGTGGGTTTGTTTGGTTTGTGTTGTACGAGTATGTGGTTTTTTTGTGAACGAGAAACGAAACAGAAACAGAAGAGAACAAAATTAAGCATGTTCAATCAAAAGAAAAAGAGTTAAATATAATAATGCAGATATAAAAGAAGATCGCAACAGGTAGATCGGTATCAGGAAAATCCTACTCGGCATGCCCGAGACGAGTTTGCATGTTTGCAAGTTGGCTGTGCGCTCCTTTGCTCATCACTTTGTCCTTTTACTCACCAATGGGTAAGGTTAGCATGGCCGTTGTTGATCCTCCTCCTCCTCCACCGCCGCCGCCACCTCCATTTCCACTGCCGCTACCTCCACCGCCACCTGCGTTGTTCGTGATGACCACCGTCTGTGTGCCGCCCACTGTCGAGGGCAGACTGACTATCGTACCCGTTGGCGGAGCTTGCTGATGCTGCTGCTGCTGGTGTGACTGCGTCTGCAGCGTGATGGTGTGTGGCAGTTGCTGGTGCTGCTGGCTCGAGACGGGAACCGACACCAGAACACTCCTCTGCTGTCCCTGCGTTGTGCCCGCACCCGTCGCCGAGTTTCCCGTCTGTTGCTGCTGTTGCTGCAAACTGTTGCCTGAGAACTGCAGCGAGATAGGCTGAGTGAAGCCGGGAATCTGCACTTGAACATTCTGAAGGCCGGCAAAGTTGGCCATGGCACCCTGCAGCTGTGACAGATTAATGCCCTGCAGGTTAAGTGTGGCGGTGGTTGGTTGCTGCTGCGTCTGCTGGTGCTGCTGCTGGTGGTGCTGCTGCTGGTGGTGCTGCTGCTGGTGGTGCTGCTGGGGTGAGGCTGAGGGCTGCGGATGCGGACTAGACATGGGCGAATGTATGGACGATGTGGCGGGAGAGTGGACGATGGTTTTGGTAATGAACTGCTGCGTCGCCGTAGGTTGCTGCGGCGACATATGTGGCATGGCCACGGCGGATACGTTGGAGGTAACATTACTGAGACGCTCCAGCAGCGCCTGGTTCTGATGTGACTGTGAGGACTGCGAGTGATCCGACCCCGAGGGTGAGGGAGTGGCCGCGTTAGTCAGCAGGGCGGAAAGGGTTCCCACCCCGCCGCCGCCACCACTGCTGCTCGACGCCAGGTTGTTGGGCACTGCGAACCCGCTGGCATTCGAGGCATTGGAATCACTGCCTGGCGAGGGGGCGGCCATCCCCACCACAATAGCATTGGGAGGCGCTGTGGTGCTGTCCCTTCTCAGAGTGCTCAGAATACGCTGCTGCACTGGCCCCGTAGGACTCTGAATCCAGGCCGTAGCCGCCGCAGCGCTGTTGCCCGACGAGATCACCGTGTAGCTTGTGGTGGGATTGGTCATTACGGCTGGCGGAGAGGCCAGCTGCGAAGCCAGCGCCGACATGGATACTCGCACCGTCTGGCCGCCACCATCTACCGTCTGCTGGTGCTGCGCCTGAGTGGCCGGATTGAGGTTGACGGCTATAAGATTGCCTGCAGAGTTGGTCCGAAATGTGGTGGTGGTGGTGGTGCCGCCGCTTCCCACGATCTTTCGGTTGGCATTCAGCAGATTCTGCAGAACCTCACTGGACTGCTGCTTCCGCTGGGCCGTCAGCAGCGTGGGCGTGCCGCGGGTTGTCTGCACATAGGTGGCTGTGCCTACATCAGAGGTACTCGGAGCTGACTGCTGCTGCTGCTGGTGTTGCACGAGTGTCAGTGTCTGTGGCTGCTGCTGCTGCCCGGTGGAGGTGGTAAAGGTTCCACTGGCCACTGGTGTGCTCGTCATGGCAGCTGGGGCACTGTTGAGCAGGTTCAGAATTGAGGCGTTGCTGGAGTTCTTTAGCGTGGCGGCATTGCTGCCGTTGTTATTGTTGCCGCCGCTGCTGCCGGATGGTGCAATGTGATTGCTGTTTGTCGTAGTCCCGCCTGAAAGGATCATCAATGAGACGATCAGTGACCAATAAAATCTCATCCTCTTGTAAGGCTATTTTTCTCTTACCGTGCTGCTGCTGCTGTTGTTGCTGCTGCTGTTGCTGTTGGTACTGATTGGCGGAGTTCATGATGCTGTTCATTATGGCATTGATTGCAGGATTCGGATGTATGGCCGTATTGTTCATATTGTTGTTACTGTTGTTGTTGTTATTGTTGTTGTTATTACTGGAGGCAGTTGTCTGTTGTTGCTGTTGCTGCTGCTTTTGCATTAGTTGCTGCTGCTGCTGAGCCTTCAGCTGCGATTGCTGTCGAAATGGATGGGCGAAAATCAATGAAATCCTTTGAATAATCTATTTTTTACTCACCAAAATTGGCACATTGGAGTTCAGCTGGGCACGCAGAGCAGAGTTGGCACCAATGACCGATGGCCCCTTCACCTGCTGCTGCTGTTGAATGCTGGCTGGCTGAATAGTTATGCCTGAGTGTTGTAGGGCTTGCGTCAGCTGCTGCTGCTGTTGTTGTTGCTGCGGCTGCTGGGGCTGCTGTTGTACCAGGACTAGGGATCCATTGCTCAGGCTCACTTGGTGGGTGGTTGTGGCAGAGTTGCTGCTTCCGGTGGCCAACTGCTGCAGCTGTATGTGCTGCTGCTGCTGCTGTTGCGGAACAATCTGTTGTGCGGTCGCCTGTTGCTGCTGCGCTCCTTCAACGGTGTACGTTTGCGGCTGTTGCTGTTGCTGTTGTTGTTGTTGCTGTTGCTGCAGCTGAGGCCGTATGTTTTGCTGCACGTTGATTACATTGCCGCTTTGTAGATTGAGAGTCTTTTGGGTGATTTGTTGGCGCGGCAGGGGCACATGGTGCACAGTGGCAGATAATTGTTGTGGCTGTTGTTGTTGCTGATGCTGCTGTTGTGGTGGTTGTTGTTGTTGCTGCTGTGTGTTGCCGACTACGACCACATGTTGTTGCTGCTGCTGCTGTTGTTGTTGTTGCTGCTGCTGCAAATGCGCTTGCCTCTGCTGCTGCTGTTGTTGCTGCTGCTGCTGCAGAAGAAGCCGCTGCTCGTTGGTCAGCCCCGTGTGGGTGACAATTGGCACATGTCCCGGTATCAAATGCGTTATCTTGACCGCCTTGCGCCCCTCCTCCGTGAAGATCTCGCGAAATTGCTGAATGTATCGATTGGCATGCACACGAGTGCCCAGGGCAAAACGGCAGGACTCGCCATTGCGTTCCCCCTCGCGAAAGTCCCTATCCACATACAGTTCGCCGAGGTATTCTGCATCGGAGGGACGCTGGTAGATGGACAGTTTGATGTGGTACAGCGCCCGCCGTCCCTCGTTGGCCTCCCGCTCAGTCTCCAGCACGTACTCCTCGATCAGTTGGGGCTGAAAGTTGTGGCGACAATTGGGCTGGCAGCCATCCTTGCATGCCTCGCTGAATTCATTGAGGGGCTCGAATGTCTTTGCATACTTTTCCACGCTGATGACATGCTCGGGCACCTTGAGATTGGCGGGGTATTCCAGGCACGGGGGACGAATAGGCCGAATAACTTCGTGAGGCCGCCTGGGCACCTTTGAGGTAAAGGAGGAGAGCATGGCGCCCACCAGAGGATTGTTGGTGGGAGCGGTGGCCGGAGTGGGGTTGCTGCCAGAGCTACTGCTCCCCGTACGAGGCCTCTGACGCAGTCGGGACAGATAGTCGCACAGTTCCAGGCCATGGTGGTGGGTGAACTGGTCCAGCTTGCGCTTACGATTGATGGCAGTCTGGGTGAACTTCTTCATCTGGCGGCGCAGCTCGTGCGAGTTAAAGAGCTGGCGCTGGTGCTGAGCATTGATGGCCTGCCGTCCTATGCTTGGATCCGGTTCCAGGCACAACGGCTCCGCCGTGGCCAACACCAACTGGCTCTCCAGGGCAAGCTTATCCTCCGCCTGCAGCTGGCTGCCTATTTGCTGCACTTCCGCGAAGAGCGTGGCGTTTGTGGGCCTGAGCAGGATGTGCTTCATATCACAGATATTCGTTGAGGTGGCAAACGTCTGGCGGAAGTCGCGGATCTGGGCAATGAGGCAGCCCGCGTAGAAAACACTCGGCTTGGCATAGATCCGTGTTCCATCTCCCCCATCCGACAGGCTAACTGTCTCCGCACAGAGCAGATCCATTAGAAACTCTGGCAGGATCTCGCGGTCAATGCACTGCAGCAGCAAATCGTTCTCGTACGGCCATCGAAGCACCTCAACCAGACCATACTCGTGCTTGGCCGTGCTCGACTCCGCCTTTGCTTGGCTGTCATCCATTGCCGACGACTTGGTGCGACTCCTATGACCTCCTGATCCTGCTCCTTCGCTGGCCGCCTCATCCCTGTCGCTGACGGACCACTCGTTCGTTTGCGGATTCAGCATCACATGCTCATCGTAGTGCAGGGCCAGCGAGTATCCCTTGTTGCCAGGATAGAGGTTCACCACGATCGTGTTGAGTTTCTCCCGCTCCACCAGCCGCTCCAGTGTGAACGATCGCGTGCGCTGCTTAAGCTGTAAATTGGCACAAACAATAAAATACAATTTATTTAATGCATTGCTTATCCACCTTCCTACAGCTGCAGCTGCAGCTGCAATTCTAGCTTACCCCTGTCTCGGCAAAGTAGTTAATGTCGTTGCTTAGCAGCTGCATGTACAGATCCTTGATTTTCTCGTGGAGATTGAAGAACTTCGTGCTGCCCGGTGGGCACACCGAAGTGCCCTTCGACGAGGACGAGGTGCTATTGTTGTTGTTGGAGGCAGCGCCGGCGCCAGCGCGCGCTGTTGACGACGACGACGAGGAGGATGGGGCTGAGGATAAAGCTGAGCTGCGACTAGTGGAGCTGCACTCCTTGCTGGTGCTGTTGCTGTTGGACTTTTGCCTCTTGCTGGGCGACGACGAGGGCGAGGCGCCATGTACACCCCCATGGTGATTGTGTGACTGATGGTGTAGGTGATGGTGGTGCAGGTGATGGCCCCCAGAGGAGGAGCTTGCATTGGCAGAGGCGGGCCGCTTCTCCGGTTTCTTGCTGGCCGTCGTCGTTGCAGCTGCGGCAGTCGAGTTATTGCTTAGGCTAGAGTTGACGCCTGGCGGCGTGGACAACAACAAGTCAGGAACTACGGGCGAGGGCGATGTGATTGAGTTGAAATTCGACAGCGTCGTTGTCGAGGATGAGCATGATGACGGCGATGGGGCAATCGCTGTGGGCAGGCCGGTGGGCGTGGCCGATGTCGGCTCAGTGAGTATGCCCAGGGAGCCCCCAATAGGGGCCCCTCCACCATCGGGAGGCGAATCATCGTCATCGAAGATGCAGATGGGCGGTTGGGCAGGAATCTGTGGTATGGCTTGCAACAGGCTGGTCTCCAGATACGATTTACTGCTCGTCGGGAAGCCAACAGTGACGGCTGGGGACGACTGCTGCTGTTGCTGGAGCGCCGTGTGGAGGTGATGGTAGGACTGCGTTTGCTGCGACTGCAGCTGGTGACTGGGGGAGGAAGCTGGCTGGTACTGGACAAACTGCTGCTGGAGAACGCCCGTGCCGTGGACCACGGCATGAGCTAGTCCCGGGGCATGGTCAGAGTTGTTAGATCCCTTCAACTTCTTCAGCGTGTCATTTATAATAAACTATTTTCACACATGTGTAAGATTAAAAAGAGGATATATTATTAGGTTTGTGACAAGCGCGAGGAGGTCTTACGTCGGCTTCTTGGCACGATGAGTCCAGGCTTTGCATTGTGCCAGCGGATGCGGATTGCAAGAAGAGTCCCAACTGTGGATCCCGAGTCCAATTACCGACGACATTCAAGCCAGGATAGAGGACTGAGTTCGATCGATGGCCTGGAAAGGATCAGCGTTGCTCTCATTGCGCTTGCAGGTGTCTGCCCCTGTGAATTACAACTACAGCTCGCTCGTTGTTGTCTTTTATTTTCCCTCACGCCTCGGGGCTGCGCCCCCCACCGTAACACTCACTTGTTTGTGGATCATTTTATTATAGACCCATTTTTATTTCTAAAATGTCTCTTAATGTCCTGTTTTCAGTGCGCGCTTTTGACGAGAAATGTAATTTCTTCACTCTTTTTCTGCTTCTGCTGCTGCTGCTTTGCGTGACATTTTCTCTCTTCGCCCCTCTGCTGAACGACCGTCTTTTTGGCTCTTTTGCGCAACAATATTACACGGCCACCACTTCTGCTTTAATTAATAGGCGAACGCTAGGGCTGTTCTTTAATAATGTGCTTCAGATTGCTTAATTTTAATTGTTTAAAACTTTGTTTTAGGCTTTTTTTGCAATGTAAATGTACTGTACAGTGTGACCGCTGATTTATTGATAATATATACCCTCTGACCCTCAAAAATATACTGAAATATACCTTCTGATTTCAGAATATACCAAATATATTAGATACTTGCAAAAAAGGAAGAAACGAGTTTTATCAATTACTTGAGATCACCTTGATCACCCTTATTTTAGGTCTTAAGATATCAAAATATTTATTTTCTTTCCGTCATTTTCATAGGTTTAGTTTTCTTTTGCCTTCATACATTTTTCTCCACTTCTTCTCTTGATTTTATTAGGATTTGAGTCGTTCACACCGTGCGTTTGTAACGGTATGATAGCATTGGGCGCGTTTACCAGGACAACTTGATCACCGATCCTTGCTTGATTTCCTGTGATCCTCCTTGTCAACGCACTTGATCAGCGTTTTTGATGCAAGAATTCATGAATCGGATTTTGAGTAAGGGAACCATGAAAAAAGTAAAATCCATTGAACTCTTGCATGAACCATGGATCATGGATCCTGGTGAACGAGCGCAATATATTTCAGCATATTTTTTAAATAAATATACTTTCACTTCAATTTCGACTTAAAAAAATACCAAAAAGTATAAATAATCCGTAAACACTCTGGTGCGTTTACACGGCACCACCTGTGGTTTTTTTTTTGCACTAACCTTAATGTGCAGAGCCACATAGCGCATTTTTATTGCACATTGTTTTATCGAAAAGCGCACATCGCCATGGCAACAGCTGCTCCAAAGCGGGTTGATTTAAAATTATATTTATATTCAAAATGTATTATTATTGAGCAGAAGTATTTGATCTGTTTTCATTGAAGCGTAATTTCATCTGATCTTGGGGAAAAATCTCTCTACTTGCTCCGTTGCTTTTTGCTTGATTCCGATGACTAGCTGCTCCGCTGTATTTACGGCAGGGGAAACCGCAACCATTGAAAAAGAAAACAAATTTGTAAGCAATAATATATATATTATTTGTAGGATTTTTACTTAATTGTAATAGGTGTATATTATTAAGGATTAGTCTTTACCAACTAAGCATTAAGAATACCAATTTTGTCACTTGTACGTATACACAGTTTGCCATACACATAAATCATATTGTAGATCATAGATCATCGTAAATCATATTCCATATATCAATCATCCGTATCATTATACATCATTATATATGCATATATATATATATATATATATCCGTATATAACCGCTATCAATATTCAATATCAGAAACATAATGTAATACGCTCGCAATTGAAGAATTTCCTTTCACATCGTCATGAGATCTTTAAACGTTAATTGTGTAGTTTTGAAATATTTATAATAAAAAAAACAGCTCTTGAGTTGGATCTGGGTGAGGATCGGATCGGATTAGATCGGATTGGGATCGGTGCGTAGTCGCTGCTAACCACCTCCTCGTCCTCATCTTCCTCCGATTCCTAATCTTTGTGGCCACCCTGAAGCTTCTTCCAGGTCTCGCCCAGCGCCTTTGCAAAGTGATCGTCGACGGAGGCTTCAGTCTTGGTGAATATCGAAATGTTCGTAGACGAGGTGGGCGAAGCAGGTGGCGTCTGCGTGGAGGAGGCTGCCACAGCTGCCAGACCCGGCTCGGCCTTTACGCGTATGATCGCCGGCATCGTGGGGGTGCTACTGGGTGTGGGAATCTGGACTGGAGTTGGCGTCGGGGTCGGTGTTGGAGTTGAAGTCGGCGTTGACGTTGGCGTAGAGGATGGGACGCTGCCGTACGCTGGGGGCGGCGGCGGAGTGTTGTACCTGGGCGGCGTGTGATGCAGTGTGTCCAGTGCTCGCTTAGCATTCACGGATGTGTCCAGTGCCTGGCTGGGAGCAGTTGCTGACGTTTGTGGCGGCTGTGGTGGCTGTGACGGTTGCAACGGTGACGTCGACGGTGGAGTCGGGGAACGATGCAGTGAGAGAGGCAGAGGTTCCTCCTGCGGCGGCGGCAACTCCAGCTGAGGCGACTCTGGCTCCGATCGCAGCGTCGGCGAAAGCATTATGGCCAGGCCCGACTTATGCAGTGGCGAGCGATGTTGCTGATAGAGAAGAGGCGCAGCTGCAGCTGCAGCCCCTGTTCCTGCTCCAGCTCCTACTGCTGTCGATCCATAGGCCAGGGGCGATATCTGTTGCATGGGCGTTCCACAGGGCGAGGGCGTGGGTGTGGGCGTTGGCGACTTCTTGGCAAAGAGGGCCGCATAGTCCTTGCCTAGCGAGCGGCGGAAGTGCTCATCAATGTCGCACATGGCCACGTTCTCTGCAATCAATGAGGAATCAGTCAAATTCGGGGCCATCTGGGCAAGGGCAATGTCTCACCTGTGGAGTGGGCCGGCTCTGGCACCTCCCGCTTTGGTGGGGCTTGGGTGATGACGCTGGGTCGGCTGTTGGCAGCATAGTTGGTCCCCGGCAGTGGCTCGCGGTATGGCGGCGGCGGTGAGGCCCGATTCTGGTGAAGCTTCAGGGCCCCCGACCCCGACCCCGACGTCAGCGACATGTCAATGGGGCTGTCCATATCACGCTCCTCCCGATCACGCTCCCTGTCGCTGCTGCCGGCATCATGAACCTGGTACTCGGCGGTACGCTGGCGGCGCTCGCGTCTCCATTTGGTGGTTGGCAGCTCCTTTGACGTCACTCGCATCTCTGCAACAAGAACAATGGGAAGAAGTTCAGTCAGGGGAGTCAGAGACCGCACGCCGCATAACCCGTTTGCCATCGTTTTCGGCACACAAATAATAGTAATAGTAGCAGTAAAAAACGTATCTAATAATAATAATACCGATGGCGGGCCACCGAGCCACAGCCAGAGAGCAACAGCAACAAATCGCATTTCAATTAAAGGCCATAAATTTGATTTGGCTTTTGTGGTCGATTTGGGCTTTTGTCTCGTATCTTAGTCTGGGAGTGAGCTCGGGTCTGGCATGGGTTATGGGCATGGGTTTGATTCCACTCCTCTCTGTGGTTTACGTGTCTATCGTCTTGGGTTTTGATTATGCGGTCGCCGTTGTCGAGAGTGGGCGTAATGAATCACATGGAGTTAAGGCGAGGCAAACTCTACAAAAGTTCCCCGCCGCCACTGCTTACTGGCTGGAGCCCTCCTCCTGCCGTCACGTTCAAGTTTGTTGCCTAAGTCTTTCGCTTTTTTGAATGAACTTCTGCCAAAAGCTCTCCTCGGAAGGGGAAAACAGGCGGGCGGAAGGCGCGGTCAGGAGGTGGCAGGCAGCACAAAATTATGCACAAAGGCACAAGAAGACGTCGCCAGCAAAAAAAAAAAGAGACACAAACAACAATCGAAACTCCAAGTCACAAATACAAAAACAAAAAAATTGGTTAAGAAAACCCGTTTCGTCTACGCTTAGTTTGCGTGCGTGTCTGTGTGTGTGTGTGTGTGTGTGTACATACACTGAGCAAAATGCAGGCCACCATCTCTGGCTGAAACGTGCTTGGCGTGCGAATGGGGTGAATCGCCCGAGTTTCTGGCGTGGGAAGTCGCCCGAGTCGGAGGAGGAGCCCAGTGCGTGGGTTGTGCAACGCTGCGATGCGGTACCCGGGAGACTTGGGATGGTGAACTAGTTCTGCGGAACGGAACGGAACGGAACCCAAGCTGAAGCTTGATTCCCTGACAGCTGGGACAGCGATTGAATCTCGCGCCTCTTACCCTTCGCTGCGAGTCCATGAGCTCCTCATACAGGAAACAAAGTTTCTAAATAAAGCTGGTGGTGGCTCCAGGCTCCACCGCTGCTGCGCCTCAGAACCCAGTTTCTTCGCCATAGGGTGGCAGCATTCAAAATCGAAGGGGCAAACCAGTCGGTCGACTTCTGCACAATTCGAGCAGCGGCACAGCGGAGAGGCGCAGAGGCCGAGAGCCTGACTGCCTGACTGCCTGCCTGCCTGGTTGGACCCATGGTCGAACCAACGCATGAATGAATGAATGAATGGCTATGGATGGGGATGGACGGATGGACGGATGCATGGAGGCGGCGGCGATGGAGATGGAGTTTCTTATGCTGTGGCGTTGGTTGTAGTGGTGAATCAGTGGCGGTGGCGGAGGCGGGAGCGTCGTCCTGTTTTTGGCAACGTCACCGCAAGGCTGCAATTTATTATTTCTGCGCCTGCGTCACGAAAGGAACCCACAGCCAGCACACACCAGCAAAACAAAAACAAAAAACAAAAAGGAGAGACAGACAGCGCAACCGACAGAGGAAGAAGCAAACTGGTCTTTGGAGAATGGAGCATGGAGTGGAGACTGTGAAAACCAAAGAAAAACATAAAAATGATCAGCAGAATGGGGCAGAGGCTGCTTCGGATTGGGATTGGACTTGGGCTTGGGCTGCTGCTGCGCTGCGGCGGATGATGATGGGGCTGATGATAATAATAAAGAAACATTCAAATTTTATTGCACATTTCCGGTCGTCGGACGTCGCTGCTTCTCGCGCTACCCCCTCTCTCCAAGCCACTGTTGGCGGCTGTGTTGGGGGATCGACAGAAGCAACGCAACGACAACGACAACGACAACGACAACGTCGCAGCTTTCTTTTTGAGGCTGACTCTCCCTCTTCTCGCTGTCTGCGCTGCCGCTCATCTTCTCTGTATCACCTTCGCCGCTCCTACTTCTTCCGCTTATTCTGCTTTGCATTATTTATTTGTTCTGCTTTTCCTTTGGCCTCCTCCTCTGCTCGGTGGGTGCTTGGAGCTTTTTAATAATCTCATGTCCGACTCAGCTAATTGGCGATAAAGGGGGAATACTAGTTGCGACTGCCGCATATTGAAAAGCAATCTACTTGTAGGAGTGTTTAATGGATCACTCAAGGAGATAGTTCTGATTGTCCCTGCATCATATTTTGTGGTCATAGTTCTAGGAACCAGAGAACACTTAAAGGGCATGGAATATGTAACAAGTTGGCATAAAAGTGTAATGAGGATCACATAATCTGATCATTTCTCCTTTACTTATGGCGGGTTTAATACAGCGATTGTTGTAAAAGGAACTAATGATCACTTGGAAGTCTGGTACAATCACCATC